TGAAAGCTAAGTGTGTAACTCCCGGTCACAAAGCAGCTGCAGTCTCAGGCTGCAGGTTGTAGATACAAAACTGTCAAACGGAGGCTTTGCAGAGCCTCAGAAATATGCAGATTTTTTAAATTTATTTAAAAACGGCACGTCGGAGGACTGACAGGCTGACACATTAGCCAGCTGGGCTAGCTGTCAAAGAGCAACCGTTAGCAGAAGATAACACTCCTCGACTTTGAGGGTCTTCGGCGGACAACAAAAAATCTCCACGCCTCGTAGCGGCAACACAACACCGAGACTGCATGGAGCTTCAATACGGGGGTTCGTACACACACACCCGGCCGTGAGTACCGGACCCCCCACCCCGGGCTCGGCGTGTGGCCGGGTAAGGTGCACTGTCATCGGGGTCTGCAGCCAGCAGAGTCCGCGGATGGAGCTGGAGGGGCCCAATCGATGCCCCTGAGCTCCGGTCAGCCTCGATATTAAGCCCACGGCGTGGGTTGGAAATAAGCCACGTTCCCCAATATTCCACCAAGGCAAAAAAAGCGTCTTCCCATTGACACCTTACCGTATATGGGTCTGAGTCTCCTATCGTTAGGGTCTTGCACATGGCCTCTCGCCGCCATGGTGGAGTTTACCTGCTGGGGGAAATGTTCGCGCATGCGCAGAGGAGGCGGCATCAGGAGCGATTAAAGGATTTTTTCCCCCCTCTGAAAGCTCAATAGTGTCGATGTGTGGAAGCCCACTACTGTCCAGACTAAATATTAGACTAAATATCAGCGTGGGTTTATTTAACCATCTCAAAGCTGCACCTAAATGTCTTTTGTTTCAAGTCTTTGTAGCTAAATGTGAAGCTAAATGTTTTCTATTAAGATGCAAGGACAGTTTTTTAACTATATTTTCACTTTATGATGATGCAACAGGTCTTTTTAAATACATTATATTAGCATTAAAGGGATAAAGCTATAAACAAGTATTTGATCTTATATTTATAACTATATATATAATTTATCTTTCTAACTATTTATAACAAGCACAATTGAGTTTTATTTACTGACTATGGCAAACTTTTACTAAGCTAAGCTAAGTACGTTCTATCTTAAAAATGCAATTTATGTATATTAACTTTTTTCAGTTTTGCTAAGACACACGTACATTTTATCTTACAAATTGAATTTATCTATATTAACTTTTTTCCTCTTTTCTCTCCTTTGTTGTCAGAATTGGTTGAATTATGATTCTAATAATCTTGAACTGCATTTTGAAATTGTCTAAAAATGTTTGTTTTGATTTGGAGCTTTGAAAATAAATAATTATAAAGGTTAAATAGTTTTTTATTTAAGTTACAACTCCCTTGGATAAATTCCACATGAAAATGTTCACAAGGATAAAATGATCTCATATTAGAGGAAGAAAACGACAAAGATATGATGAAATGACCAGGCCTTCACAGGCACAAAAAACAAGCAGAAACAAAGCAATCCAACACAGATTTTGCTTATTTGTTCAAATTTATTAGATATTCTGTT